GTCTCTTGTAGCAAAGAAGTTGACATATCTGTTAATTGCCTTTATCAGACTAGTTATAATCTTTCACTGAATCCTTTCAATATATTCATATTTAACAAGTTTAGTTTTGAAGGTTTCCATCACTAAGCTGGTATTGTTGTTGTTCGCTTTGTTTCTCAGTTTAAGGATTGGTGGTACCTCGTTGGTAAAGGTATGCTGCCTTTTTTTAAAGCGATTTTTTAGATTGGATAGTATTTCTGGATCCTGTAGATTAATGAAATCTGTGTTTTCCAGGTTAACAACCTTAGGTGGTACTGTGTGAGATACTATTTTATCTTGTATAAAGTGGTATATATTGTATATATTGTTGTGACTCTGTAGAGCTTGAATTCAGACCGAATTTCAACTTTTGGCAACCAGAAATTTTTCTTCGGAATATTGTGTTTGGGTGTTGAAATTATAGGAAGTAGTAGTAATAGTAGTAGTAGTATTATTTTACATCAGGAGAGCAGCTTATGGCTGCCCTCAGAACCTTTCTAAAGATATGCAGATGTTCTAAGCTATGGTTTTACAATATATGAAATGAGAGTGCCTTAGAAAGAAAAGTGAAAGCCTTACGGCCATTCCCAGTAATCGTATGTTACCTTCCAATTTGTGCATTCTCTTCTCCACCAGTTAAGATGATCCTACTATCTTGCCTAGTGTAAGCAGATATGCCCTTGTTGTAGACTTACCATTGCTTGCGCTGGGCAGATTGGTGGGCTGCTTTTGGTATAGCCACTTGGATATTTGTTATACTCCGGGGAGCATTCTCAGATATGTTTTCATACATCTTATTGATATTCAATCAGATTTTTCATACCTATTACTATTATTATTTCTCTGTATATACTCTATAAAGAGAGTTTAAGGTTTTGTTTATATCGTATATTGCAAGTTGGTCCTAGTAGTGGATATAACTTGTTACAGGTTTCTAGATTGTTTTAGATATAAAATACAGACTTGTGATTCTCTACTTAGGGTATATATCTTTATAGAACTTTGTAAGCTTTAATAGCTTAGCAAAGTTTGCAGGGTTATTTAAGACTTGTCGGAGGTATTCGATACCTTCCTCATTTGTCGATAATGGTTTGAATGACTTATTTAGTTATTGTTCAAAGGTACCTTTTGCCTTCCGGTAGTGCACCAGGTGAACAAAGGTTTTGGATCTTCTACAGGAACATTCTGTGTCTCCTGTATGTCCAAATTTCCTGTGATATTATTCGAAGTCTCCATATAAGATTCGGATGACTATCAACCTGTATAGAATTACTTGTGAGAATAGGAGTTCCGGGAGTGGTTTGACCTTGTAAACCGGGTCCCACTATTTATACCACAGCGAAAAGGCAGGTTTGTATGATGTCCATTATTCTTGGCAGGCCTCTTCTCTGAGGGTGCATGCAATCGATCTTACCCCACTGTATATAGATTAAGATGCTGGTCCGGTATCCCAACTGGGTTTTTTAGTATCGAGATTAGTGAGGTAGTCAGTTATCTTATTTCCTTCAATGCTTTCATGTCCCGGTGACCACTTGATGCGAATATCATGGTTTTTTATAGCCTTGTAACAATTGTTGAACATTTATTATGATAACATAGAGGTATTGGCCCTCATGCCCCAAATGATTAAGGCGTTATCGATGTACATCCAGATTTTTTGGTTGGTGTACCTGGCATCCTTGAGGGTGTATTCCAGGCCTTTCTATACTCCAATGGTTTCTATATCAAAGATGTGTGACTAAATATTGATAAAACCAAAACCTACTAATATCTGGTTCTTACCTAGGTATATCATATACCTATAACCCACAATATGCTTTCCTTTCACATGGTTTTCCGATCTATCTAAGAAGATGGTAATATCTGTACCTGACAGGTTTTCCCACCAGGTATTAAAGGCTTTTACAGCCGTTTTCTTGTTGATCCCTTCTATTGGATCTATTTGGCAACCAATTGTATACTGTAATGGTTTGAGTGTAAACCTTGGGATTGGGAGGATGAGAAAACCAAATCATTGGACTTTAGTTTTTACTCTTTATCTTGAACCCATATCTCGCCCTTTAATGATTATAAAGAGTTTGATTCTTTTTGTAAATAGATGGGTTGTATTTATGTTTTGGAGGTGTAGAGCAAACCTCAGTTTGGCTTCCTCGAAAACTGTTATAATTAAAGGGAAATCTGTTTCACAATAAAGGGTGGTTACCGGTATGGTTTTCCAGATTGGTATGATTTCTTGTATTACTATTGTGAGAACCTTTTCGATTTACATCATATACCAGCCAAGGTAGGTACTGACCTTTGTCTGTCCTGCTTTTAGTTTTTGTACGGTTTTGAACCTGCCGTCATACCAGGTTTCAGTTCTGTACAGAAGTAAGGGTAGTACATATATCGTTATTGCCTTGTATATGGTGTGTACCGAGGGGTTTTGCATGACTTTGGCTAGACCTCGGATATACTTTGCCACTGCCCTGGCTTTGCCTGTGCGTTCGGTGATGTGCCTACGAAAATTTAGCTTTTTGTTGAATCATACTCCCAGCCATTTTAATGTTGAATAAATATTTGTTTTTGTAGTCACTATCGAATAGATTGTGAATTCTTCATTGATCTTGATAACAGATATTGCATTGCTATTGTTTATAGAGATATGGATCATTTCTAGTTTCTTTGGAACGAAAGCGATGCGATTGTTCGATCTTTATTGTATAATATCTTATACATCTTTAGTGAGATGTTTGGTGTTTTCTTTTAGGGTTTTGGATGCTCTGTATAAACATATGTTATTTGTGTACCCAAACCTGAGAGAGGTGTCTTGTGAGAATAGTTCCGCTAGGTACAGTATGTACAGGACTGGTGATAGGGGGGAACCCTGAAGGGTTTCACAGGCCACTACGTATTCCCTAGTTGTGGTTTGTTCCAGCTATACTCTGACTTTCCTTTCCGTCAGGAAGGAGTTGATTAATAGGAAAAGGTCCTTAGGCCAGCTTTGTTTTGTCATCCTAGCAAGTAGCCGTCTTTTGAACAAGGTATCGAAGACGCCTTACACATCTATAGTAACCATAATTACTTTTTTGCTGGCCCCCAGTGCCGTTTTTATATTGTATATAAAAGATACTACCAGATCCATCGCAGACCGCTTGGGCAGGGCTCTGTTATGTTGGGGATTGATAATGCCATGCCTTAGGGCTATCCAACCTAAACATTTGGTAACTATTCTTTCCAGGCCTTTTCCTATACAGAAGAGCAAAGCAATAGATCTCTATAACCTTGCGGATGTTATATCCTTTTTCCCGATTTTGGGTAGCATAGCCATTTTAGCTAGTTTCCAAGTTTTCAGGAAATAGCTATATTCGAGGTATTTCTAGTAAAGCCATCTTAGCAGATCCTTGAGATATTCCCAACAGACCTTGAGGATCCTGACCGTGATTTGGTCAGTTCCTGGGGATATACTGGATACTCCAATAATATTTGCTTCGATTTCTTCTAATGTGAACCAGAAGTTTTAGGGTAAGTGCTTGTTTCCTTTCCATTGATTTCCCAATGGATCATGTTCCAGGTTATCTTCCGTATTAAAGCGGTCCAGTATTTCAGTCCTGAATACTTCGGCTTTTTCCATCGAATCTTCTATCACTACTCCGTTTGAGGTGATTGAAGGGCTTTTGAGGTTCGGGACTAGCTTATACCAGCCGATTATCTTGTATAAATCTTTGTCACTGAAGATGTCGTTTATAACATATCACCAGTAGTTGTATTTAACCACTCTGACTATCGTTTTGAAGTCTTTCGTTACTATAATAGAAAGACTCTCTGGTGTAGCTTGTTTGTTTAGATGTTCAGTATAAACTCTTTTATATTTTGCTATCCATCAGGGTACTGATTTGCCTTTCCCTTTATTTATAGTTCCTACTACAGTTATCGCTTGCTTAATAACTTGTGTAATTTGATTAGCAAAGTCATCTATTTTCCCTGATGTGTCCAGAGTATCGTTTGTAGATAGATATACCACTCTGTTTGTTATTAGTCCCGCTAGTCGTGGTAGTTCCGTTTCCGGGATACAGATATTATATTGATTTAGAAGCTTAATACCTCTGCCAGGTATTGTTATTACTAGGGTGTAGTGATCCGAGCTACTGTGTAGGTTATATCGGACCCTGGTTTTTGCAAATAATATGTTGGAGAATGTGAGGTCAAGCATGTTTTCTCTTATATAGGTAGATGCTTCTTTTTCTCCAATGAATTCTAGTTCAGCCAGGTCTGCCTATGCTGCTAGTTCGTTTCCTCCGTGTTGATTTTCTGATCCAGGTTGTTATATTTCATATATAATGTTGAAGTCGTTTCCGATAAGGCATCCTGGGGGTGGTTGTAGTTCAGTAATATATATTAGTATCTGTTCTATTTGTAGTTATCAGTATATATTCAGTATAAGGTGCTTGTTTACGTCTATTCAGAGTATATCACAGCTTTTGATTGGCTGCCTCTGTTGGGTTCGCAGTTTCGCTCCTTTCCTGATATATATCAGTACTCGGGGTCTTTCTGCCTCTCTTTGTTCAAGGGTTATTCCTATCCATAAGTCTACTGGCATATATAGGATCTATCTGGGATATATTTTGGTTTTTGTAAATAGGAATATGAAAGGTTCCTGTACACATAAAATATCTGATTTATCTTCAAATACTATTTGTAATAATGTATCGTAAGCCTTTGGTATTCTGTTCACATTCGTCCAGCAGACTGTTAAATCCCGTATCCTAGGCTGTTAATAACTACACACATCATCCTGACACATTGAGCATCTATTCATATGTATTAGGTTAGAAGTCCTCCCCCATTTCAGTATCCTATTAGGTACCAGCTAGAGCTTCCTCGTTGAATCTTGATTTCAACAAGGGTTTTCGTCCCAATCGGCTTTTTGTTACTATGCCTCTCCTGAGCTGTGTTTTCATTACACTATCTCTAAGGTTTTTATAGGCAGTGATTTGTTTTCCTTAGCGTTTGGGTACTGATATAGGGGTGGGTGTGGAAGTAAATGCCTTTGATACAGGTCCCTCCTTAGGGTTATCCTTAGGCTTTTGATTGGTGAGCATTGCTACTTTCATAGCTAGAGCCGGTTTTCGAATAGCCTTAAGTTGTAGTTTGGTAGACATTATGACCTTGCCATCCATTACCTTAGATACTGTAGGGCAATTCTGGTGTCCTGTTGCGAAGAGTCCAAAACAGTTAGTATATTGTGCTTTTGCTATGCAATTGGGTTCTTGTGAACTCTTATATATATCTTTTTGTATACTACAGTTTGTGCAGTGGGTGAGTCTGGTGTATCTTGCTGGGTTGCACCAGCCCTGGCATCCGGTGTTGTGTCAGATTATTGTAGGTTTTGCCTTGATCTCTTATACTAGTTCGCTAGCATTAAAGAATCTGAAACTACGGATTAGTTCTAGAAAGGATACTATCTATATGATTGTGCTATTGTAAGAATTGGCCCTATAATGTGAGGGTCTGTAGTTTACTGGGGTTTGATCCGTTTATGCTTGAATCTCTGTTTTCATATAATTCGCTGTGTCGGCTGGGAGTCCTGTTATCATACGGATCGATACTGGGACCCCAGGGACTATATAATTGAATCAAGTTATTGATTAATATATTTGTATACCTTGACTGATTTTGAGGATGATCTTCTTGTTTTCCTGTATGAGAAGTAATACTTGGATGACTGGATTCTTTAGTGTGATAGTCTATCTTGTCTTGGTGGTAGATATGGTAGGGATATCTGCTAGTGTCAGGTTTGTGATTACCTTAACAAAAGTGCTTCTTAGTGTATACGGGGCTGGCCTGCTAATCTGGGCTGTAGGGTTGATGGTTATTAGTAGTCTGTAGTCCGTGCTCCAGGCGGTTTGTGTCGCCCATTATTTGGTGTGTACGTTGTTATGTAGTAGTAGTAGTAGTAGTAGTAGTATTATTTTACATCAGGAGGGCAGCTTAAGGCTGCCCTCAGAACCTCCCTGGGGGTATGCAGATGTTCTAAGCTATGGTCTTACGATACATGAAATGAGGGTGCCTTAGAAAGAAAAGTGAAAGCCTTATATGGCCATTCCCGGTAATCGTGTGTTACCTTCCAATTTGTGCATTCTCTCCTCCGCCGGTTGAGGTGGTCCTGCTGTGTTGCCTGGTGTAGGCGGTTGTGCCCGGTTGTGGGCGTGCCATCGCGTATGCTAGGCGATCAGGTGGGCTACTTTGGTGTAGCGATGGATGTGTGTTATACTCCGGGGAGCGTTCGCAGATGTGTTTTCGCACACCTTGTTGGTATTCAGCCAGGTTTTTCATACCTGTTGATTACGTTGTTATGTAGGGCCTTTGGTAGGGTCTTTTGGGGTATAGGTAGATCCTTTCGGCCTGCCCCATTCTGACTTGTTTTGGAGGTCTTGAGGATCCCCGTGTAGGTTTTGGTAATAGTTTGTGTTTTCAAAGAAGCTGTATTTCTTATCGCCGGTAATGTGTACAATGAGTTCGATGCTTGATCAGATCTATTGTTAATAGATAATGTAAGGATTTCAACAACTCTAGTACTTAGTTTCCTGGTAGTTGTTTTTTTGTTCCTTGCAACAAAGAAATTGACATATTTGTCAATTACTTCTATCAAACCAGTCATGACTTTTCGCTGAATCCTTTTAGTATATTCATATTCAGCGAGTTTGGCTTTGAAGGCTTCCATTGCTGGGCTAATATTATTGTTATTCACTTTGTTTCCCAGTTTAAGGATTGGTGATATCTCGTTTGTAAAGGTACACTGTTTTCTTTTAAAATGATTTCGTAGATTGAATAGTGTTTCTGGGTCCCGCGGATTGATGAAATCTGCGTTTTCCAGGTCAATAACCTCGGGTGGTACCGTATGGGACACCATTTTGTCTTGTGTAGAGTGGTATGTATTGTATGTATTGTTGTGACTCTGTAGAGCTTGAATTCAGACCGAATTTCAACTTCTGGCGACCAGAAATTTTTCTTCGGAATATTGTGTTTGGGTTGAAATTATAGGAAAACCTTTGGCATAACCATATATTGTACAACAATCATCTAATCATAGTGTTACTGAAAGATAATCATGGTCAAAAGGGGATAAAGTAATTATTTGTCTAAACACTGAGGGTAGGTATAACTTTGAAAGGGTAAAACATGACGATTGATCTAAACTACTGGAAGAGGGAGTATAAGTACTCTCTCTAGACTATCACGTGACTCTAATATTATTGATTGGTTTCCTCACAATATATAGATATAGATAGAATATTTATATAAAAAAAACTGTTA